CGCTTAACGAGGGCGCAAAAACGCTGCGCGCGGCTATTTCGGGGCTTCCGGTGGCCATTTTGAAGCCGCCGAACAGGTGATCGGCGGGTCGCAAAGCGAAGGTCGGTAAGCAAACCACTTACCGACCTTCGCTCTGCGATTTTGAGCCATAGGGGCCATCGGTGTGCGATCGCATTTGTGATCGCTAGAACGGCCCCGTTGTGCGGATTCATCGTTCTACGGTGCACTCGTTGTGCAAGGCACCACTGTATACCTGGCCACAACTGCGAGGTATCCAGTATACTCCTGCAGTGGTGAGGGGGTCCCTTCTGTCCTTTGCTGACCGTAACATTTGTTGTATTTTTGTGGCAGGCTTGAATACTGTTTGTAGGTTGTGTTTTTTCAAAAGTTTCCCCATGCAGTCCATGACCCCTTTGATGTATGGCAGAAATTTCTATTAAGTCCAATATGACTTACCTAAGAGCAATTGTGAATTCCTCCCTGACTAAGCCACATCTGAACTGATGTGTCCAGTTGTTGGTGCCACAATCGAAGCCGCTGCGGCTTGTCCAATAGAGTAAATACGTCACTGCTCAACTGCAGACATGGGCCAATCCTATTTAGGCTTTTTCCTACCTAGCTCCTTATCAGAGACAGAAGATCAAAGCCTAACCTGCGTTGTCTTCCTACTGTATGTATGTTTGCCTGCCTGCCTGTGTACATGTGTGTTTGGGTGTGAATGTATGAATATCCATGGTTGCCTCCCAGATCTTTCCACCTGTGCTGTGACTTCTGTTCCAGCAATTGGACGAGGTTCTAGCCACCACTGAATTTAAGGACATTGACAATCTGGAGCATGTCCAGTGGAAGGGGACTGGAACAGTAATGGATCTGGAAATCAAGCCTTATGATTTCCAAACCATTTGGGGGGGGTGATTTTATGCTCCCCAAAATGACCAGGAGCAATGCCAATCCCCCGCATGAGCAAAAATTATGAAAAAATCAAACTGAATGTTGTTGGAAGTCCAGTTCTCCTTTCATTTTGTGGGTTTGGGGAGTTGGAGGCACTGCAATATGTTTAACTGCAAAATCATCCCTGTTTTTGAGGTACACATTTATTCTGCAACACAGGAAGATTTCCAGGGGTTGCAACACTGATCTTCGTGAGTAACATATGGCCCCAGGGACTACACTTTGCCGAACTCTACTGATGAGAAAGAACTGGATATGGTTAGCCTAAAGAATGCAAGATGAAGAGGGTGGATTATAGTGGCCTTCAAACATCTAAAAGGCTGGCAGTAGATGAAGAAGATTGGTTTTCTGCTATTCCATAAAGCAGGACTAGAAGCTTGATAATCAAGTTACGTGATTGTGATCCCTGTCAGCCCCTTTTCCTCCTTGTACAACATCGTGGTGCGAAGATGACTCTGACACTTCAGTTTTTTTCTAGTAAAACATCTTTATTTAGTAACAAACTCTTGTGGTCTTTATCAACTTCCCCAGTAAAACATCTTTATTTAGTAACAAACAACAACATCAGACTCTTGTTTTGCAGAGATGGCAACGGTGCCAAATTTCTCATCCTCAAACAGTAACAGATTCCCTTTCAACATGAGAGGTGAAGGATTCCAAACAGGATCGTAACATCTAGAATGCACAGCCCAGATCGTCTGGTGCCATTACGCTTGGCCTCACTGGGGGGTGGGTGAAATATCCAGCGCACCTGTGGTTCCCAAACTCTTCTGCCCTGCATAGGTCTTGGGTTGGGGTGAAGCGGACGGACCCCATGGGGTCTTCCAGCTCTCCCCATACCTCAGTTGCATTCCCTCCATTGGGTCTCTCTGTATCCAATCTCTGTATTTATTTCTCCCCTCTCTCTTTTGTCTCGCCCCATAGGGTGGTTTTCTATAGATCTGCCTCTTCCTCTCTTTCTCGGTATAGTCTTTCAGCACTTTAAATTCCACCCATTCTCCTGTCCAGGGGTCTTCCTCTATCAAATCCACTAGATCCTCTTTTTCCTCCACCTTCTCCCTCCAACATGCTTCTCCTTCCCCTCAATCTACCCACTGCCCTTCCTCCTCCTTTCCTGTTTCCTCTTGCTCCTCTTTCCCCTCCAAAATAGGGCCCATTCTCGCTTCTGTCACTAAATTCAGTTCCTATAAATCTTTCATTAGGGTCTGTCAGTTGTCCCTCATTGCTTTCTCTTAAAGAGACGGACGGCACACCCTTCTGACCATCTCTGAGGGTGTTCCCAGTCTCACCGTGATGCAACAGTAGGTCAGTTATTTGTAAGGGAGGCAGTTTGTGACAGTATGCTCATGAGATCAAGTAAAAGAAAATTCAAAATTTCCTATCATAGAAAAGTGAAGTTGGAAGGGGCCTACAAGGCCATCCAGTACAACCCCCTGGTTAGTGCAGGAATACAATCAAAGCATATCTGCCAGGTGATTATCCAATGTTTTCTTGAATGCCTTAAGTGTTGGAGGACTCACCAACTCCTGAGGTCACTGGTTCCCCTGCCGTACTGCTCTAACAGTTAGGAAGTTTTTCCTGATGTTCAACCGAAATCTGGCTTCCTTTAACTTGAGCCCATTGTTGAGTGTCCTACACTCTGGGATGACTGAGAACAGATCCTGCTCCTCCTCTTTATGACAGCCTTTCAAATATTTGAATAGTGCTGTCATATCTCCCCCAAAGCCTTCTTTTCTCAACGCTAAAGATGCCCATAAGGCTTGGTTTCCATCCCCCTGATCATCCTTGTCACCCTCCTCTGAACTTTTTCCAGTTTTGTCTGCATTCTTCTTGAAGTGCGGTGTCCAGAACTGGACACAATACTTAAGGTGAGGCCTAACCAGCACTGAATAGAGGGGGACTAGCACCTTGCAGGATTTGAAAACTATACTTCTAGTAATGCAGCTTAAAATAGCTTAAAAAGAAGACTGAGGCAATATAGGATAGCACTTTTCAAATCCTTGAAAGGTAGTCATCCAGAGAAGGGACAGGATCTGTTTTTTGATTATCCCAGAATGCAGGACATGTAATAATGGGCTCAAGCTACAGGAAGCCAGATTTAGGCTGAATGTCAGGAAAACATCTTAACTGTTAGAGCAGTACAACAATGGAAACAATTACCTCTAGAGGTGGTGAGGTAATTGGTGAGACCTTGCAGGATTTGAAAACTATACTTCTAGTAATGCAGCTTAAAATAGCTTAAAAAGAAGACTGAGGCAATATAGGATAGCACTTTTCAAATCCTTGAAAGGTAGTCATCCAGAGAAGGGACAGGATCTGTTTTTTGATTATCCCAGAATGCAGGACATGTAATAATGGGCTCAAGCTACAGGAAGCCAGATTTAGGCTGAATGTCAGGAAAACATCTTAACTGTTAGAGCAGTACAACAATGGAAACAATTACCTCTAGAGGTGGTGAGGTAATTGGTGAGCAGTCCATTGCTGGAGGCATTCCAGAAAAAAATTGGACAACCATCTGTCAAGTCTGCTTTGATTTGGATTCCTGCATTGAGCAGGGGATTGGACTCAATGGCCTTATAGGCCCCTTTCAACTCAATGATTACAGGAAACATGAATGGCTACCACGGTTGCAACAGATGCCTGCAAAATCATCATTCTGTTTATTTCATTTATTTTCACATAAGGTAAAGGTAAAGGTTCCCCTTGACAGTTTAGTCAGTTGTGTCCGACTCATCCCCGTTTCCAAGCCGTAGAGCCAGCGTTTGTCCCAAGACAGTTTCCGTTGTCACGTGGCCAGTGCGGCTATACACGGAACGCTGTTTACTTTCCCACCGAGGTGGTACCTATTTATCTACTCGCATTTACATGCTTTCGAACTGCTAGGTTGGCGAGGAGCTGGGACAAAGCGATGAGAGCTCACTCCGTCACGTGGATTCGATCTTATGACTGCCGGTCTTCTGACCCTGCAGCACACAAAGGCTTCTGCGGTTTAGCCCGCAGCGCCACCACATCCCACTTGATTTTCACATAAACTCACAGGAAAATAAAGAGAGTCAATAGATAATTAAGAATGTTTAGCTCTATCCTATACATGCCCACAAGAAAGGAGATTTTGCCTAAAATGTAAGAATTTCTTGATCACAAGAGCAGTTTGCTACCTGACTGGATAGCTCAGTTGTTTAGGCTGGGAGTTCAGTTCTCCATGGAGCTTCTTTGGAGAACTTATTTGGAGAAGCCAGTCTGTGTGGCTTTAGGCAAGCTGCAGAGTCCCAGGACAGCCCCCAGAGTGTTCTTTACCTGGAAAACCCTGAGAAAGATTTGCAATAAGTCAGAACTGATTTGATAGCACATGATGATGATGATAAAGAGCTGTTTGAAAGTGGAACGGACTACATTAGGCGATGCACTCTGTTGGAAGTCTTTAAAGAGAAGTTGGACATCTATTTTTCAGATATGGTTTACCTATGGATTTCCTGCTTTTCTCCTGGACTCAATGAGCCTTGGGGCATTTACCAGGGGAGAGTGGGGACCTGTGGCTCATAGACAGTCGTTAGGGCTTCTTCCTCTGGAAGAACGTGGGTGGCTCCAATGGTTTGCCCGGCCAGGGGAGGAAGTGGGACGCCCTGCTCAGTTATTTCAGAGGGATGGGTTGAACGGTGCACTTGGCACTGACTTCACACCTACACTTCATACAGAACTTGCACCCAAGGCACAGGGTGGTTGTGCCCTTTTGTTAAAGGTGCCACAGGATTTCCTCGGTGGCTTTATTTATTATTATTATTATTATTATTATTTGCTCCTCTGGAGTTCGTCAGGGGCTTTTAAAACGCACAGGCTTGGGAAGAGAGCGGGCGAGGCAAGGGAGGGGAAGCCATTTCGGAGGCTGCCCTCCGCCGCCTCCCTCGCCTCTTCAGAGGCCGCCATGAACCCCGCGCGGGTCTGCCCCTCGCCGCCTTCTCGGTCCGGCTCCAGGGGAGGCCAAGGGAACAGGGAGGCGAGGACCCGGCGGGCGGCGCCGAGGGGCAAGGGGGTGAGTGAGTGGGCGCCCCTGAGGAGGACCGGGAAGGGCGTCAGTGGGGAAGGAGGGCGGCGAAGGAGGGAGCCGGGGACCGGACCCATGGCGGCGGCGGCGGCTCCTCGGCCGGGATCACTTTCGCCCTCAGCCTCCCTTCCCTTCTCCCTCCCAAAAGCTGGAGGAGAGAAAATGGCGGCGGCTCTGAGGGAGCGCGGAAGGAAAGCGAGGCAAAGCCGCGGCGGTGGCAGCGCCTTCGCCTTTTTCCTCGGACAGGACGCTTCGAGCCGCGGCTGAGGGGAGGAAAGCGGCGGCGGTTGCTCAGCCTTTAAGGGCTTTTATCCAGGACGGCCATCTCTCGTCCTTCTCCCCAGCCTTGCTCGCCTCGCGTCCCGCCGTCCCCACACAGCAGACTTGGGGAAGGAAAGAAGGAAGATGGCCGGCGCCCGCCCAGCAGAGGAGGGCAGCTTGCAAAGCCTGCCCTGTTGCCTTGACGCCCTTTCCCTATAGAAATCACCACCAAAAAAAGGTGTGGGTGTGGGGAGGAGTTGTGTGTTAAGAAAGAGACTCTGGTGTGTCTCGTTGTTGCTCCTGCGGTTGTCAAAGCTTTGCTGGCGCTGTTGTGAATGCGACCTTGTTGAGGCTCTCGGGCTTTGTTTAAAAATTTATTGCTCTTTTCATTTAGAAAAAAAAGAATGAAATGGGGTATTAAACTTTTTTTAATTCCCCGCTCCCCAAGAAGGGATTGTGCCTGAAAAGCCAACCACCCTGCAAGTCGTTACTCGACTCTGAGATGTAACTACAGGTAGGTAGGTTGCGGTGCAGATGGTAAAGAGGTGGGTCGAGCACCCATCTTTAGGGGTGGATAAATATTCTGGAATAAAAAGCTAGTGAGAGCTCCTTGCTTAGGAAGGGGTGTTGCTGCTCTGATAGGGTGCTTTGAAACAGCCTATTGAGGGGTTCGTGTTGGCAAAGGGAATAAAACTGGCATCTAAGTTCAGCTTATCTGGCTGCTTTTAAAGGCACAAGAGCAACCAAGTTTTTTTTCCTGGTCAGTTGTCGACCCCAGGGTGTAACCAACTGTCCTGGGTCAAATTAAGCGAGGCATGGGTTCACATATCCATAAACCGGGTGCCATCAAGTCACCTCCGATTTATGCCAGCTTTATAAACTGAGCCCTCCCCGAAATGTGAGATTGCTCTTTCCCATAAGTCTAAATGCCTCCCAGTTAAGAGTTGAGCTGCTTTACTGGAGCACAGGAGGTGGTGGACTTCCCCATGGTGGGAGATTTTTAGTTTGGATGGTCCTCTTCTGTAGATACTGCAGACTAAAGTAGATTCCCATAGTTACAGAAGTTTTAAAATTATTTTGGATCCCTTTCGAGTCTACAAGTCAAGACGGATAGTGCTGTTCTGTTTTGTAATAATAAAACACTTTCATATTAGGTCATAATGTTATATTGATGTGGCTAGGAATCTTTTTTGTACTCTACCTGTTGGGAGTGTTTTCTTAATTTGTAACTAATATATTTATCTCCACAAAGCTCAGAGTCTGATTTTTTCCCCACCTCTCACATTGATTCTGTGAGGTAGGCTGGATCTTGGATTTTTACAGCTATATTACTCTAATTACTGTGCCACATTGCCTGAAATGCTGTTGTTTAGTGTAAGGCAAATAGTAACTTTCAATCCATTCTTCCCTGATAAACATACCATTCCCACCATGATTCTCAGGGTGTGTGCACTCACACACCAAACCAGCATGCCCATATTTCCCAAATAATTGTGGCATGGACAGTTCATTTACTGGGGAAGAATAAACCAAAAGTTACACTTTGGTTTACCTTAAACAATAACATTTTGGCCACTGGCTCAAAACTATTAATCCATGTCAGTCAAGAGAAGATTGACAAGAAGTCTATACTACCTTAATTTTTATCTTCTTCACTAGGAACAATATGGCACTTGCTGTTTTCACCAGATTTGTTTTGATTGTTAATTACACTTTCCTTAAAGACAGACTGAACGTTTACTTAGTTACCTTTTAACACCCTCTTGAGCATACCCTTTTGTTCAAAATAATGATACAGTTTTCCCTATATCCTTGGTCCAGTATGCACCATGGCCACAGATTCATGTGAAATAAAGGTGTGACTCCTGTAAAGAAGCCAAAAACAAAGTGATTTTTTTCCTCCCCATTTCTTTATGTGAGATAAATCTCATGATATTTCCTAAAGACTTTGTGGTCTTTTTTTCTTGTAAGAAATGTCAGTTACAGATTACTATCATTACTGGACAGAATGGCATCTTTCTTGCACAGGCTTCATCTGGAAAGGACAGGAAAAAAACACACCAAGCTGCACAGAATTATTACAGTTCCTGTGTAGAACTACCTCTCCAACTGCACAAGATTCACTGGAAAGGTATACAGAATTTTGCAATGTTCAGAGCAGAACAACAAATGAAAAACAAAGGCAAAAGTGGAAATGAGATCTGTGAAGTTGAGAAATCTCACTGAAGCAGATGGAAGCTTGGTGGTAAGTCTTGGGATGGTGAAGCATGGAAGATCACAAAGAATTAGAAGTTTTATGAGTACTCATCACATCCCTCCTCTGAAAGTGAAATGTGACATCCTCTGTATGCTGTCTAACTGACCTATGGCACTTCAAGATGTTCTGATAGTAGACCAGACTTTGTAAGTCCCAACACATTGAGCTTATGCTGAGTTATAGTCAGAAGGAAGGCTGCAGTAGATCATGTGTGTAACCAGTAAACTCTGCATTTGATGCTGTTGAAATAGCGTGTTTCTAATCTATCAACATTGTTAGGTCTATATATCAAACTGCCTTATGTGAATTTTAGTTCATAGTCAGTCTTCATTAGTCTAGGTCAGTGCTGGATGATAATAGTCAGAAATCTTTTCTGCCTTACTGCCTGGAGATAACAGGTGTTACTGGATCTTTCTCGCACAGTGGTTAAACTGCAGCCAAAACTCTGCCCATAATCAGGGTTCAGTCGCAGGTAGGCAGTTCAAGGTTCGCTTAGCCTTCCATCCTTCTGCGGTTGGTAAATTGAGTACCTGGCACACTGGGGAGACAATGTGTAGCCTGCATAATTAAATTGGAAGCTGCCCAGAGAGTTCTTTAAGCACTATGGGATGGTGTTTGAGGATCGTGCTTTCCTTAGCAGTGCCCCCCAAAGTTTTTCGCAGTGGCAGTTCTACGCATCTTGTCCACCAAAAGACCCTACCACTAAGACATCCTTTGCTTTCTTGCTCCCCTCCAGGCTTTCTTTCATTAGCCACATACCACACTAGGTTGTGGAAGCCTGCAAACAAACATATGAAAAGTTGTGGGAGAGGTACAGTGGCGCCTCGCTTAGCGACATTAATCCGTTCATCGCTAAGCGATATTAAAAAGCGCATAGAGACGCATTAAAACGTGATTAATGTGTTCCTTTGGGCTTAAAAACTCACCTTTAAGCGAAAATCCTCCATGGGGCAGCCATTTTCGGTGCATCTAAAGCGAGGAAAAACGGCGGGTGGCCATTTTGTTTTCCCAGTGTCCATTTTGAAACCGCCGATCAGCTTTGCCATGATCGCTTCCCTGCAATCATCGCAAAGCGAAAAAACCCCATAGGGACCATTGCAAAGCAATCGCTTTTGCGATCACAAAAAGTTAGTTGCTAAACGATTTCATCACTCAACAGAGCAATCGCTATGCGAGGCACCACTGTATCCTGGAAGACTAGAGCAGTTGTCTCTCTTTTAAGAAGGTGGGACACTGACAGAGCAGTGTAGTGGAACTGCTGGGAAATTGTAAGGGCTGGGGAAGCACCAACACAAGAGTTTAGGCTGGTTATGATACTAGAGACTTGGGAGAACTGGGTTATGGAAGATCTGATGTTTAGGACTAAGTACGCAGTTTCATGATATAATGAAAAACATGGCTTTATAGGCAGCATTTAGAATAGTGTGCCTTTAAATAAAATAAAATATAATAAAATAAATGTGCTGTTGTTGTTTTTTCCTGTTCAGGGGTGAAATGAATTTCAGCCAACCTTTTGAGTAAATAAGAATGGGCCCAGATGTGCCTCTGCTGAATGATCACAAACAAGAATTCCTCCTGAAGCGATTTTCACAGAGTGTCCTGGGTGGCCCTCGATTTAAATTAGGACATTGCGCACCTTCTTACATTTACGTGAATCAAATTATTCTCTTCCTGATACCATGGGTTCTTGGAGGAATAGGGACACTTCTGTATCAGCTAAGTGTTCTGGAAGACTATGGTGCATCTGCACTTTCTGGAGCCCTAATGCTAGCTGCAGCCTTAATCGTTCAGGCAACAAACTTGTATGCAAGACAGAAAACCACAGCAGTGGAAAAAGTGCATACCCGCAGTATCCTAACGGATGAAGACGAGTGGGAGTTTTCTAGCTGTGTGGATTCAGAGACAATCAAATTTATTATTTCAGGCAAAAAATACATCGTTAACATTGTTTTTCACTCTGTCCTGGCTGGGGTACTGTGTGGCCTAGGCACATGGTATTTGCTGCCAAACAGGATTGCCTTATTATATGGAGGAAACATTGGTAGCACTGTTACCATCTTCATTTTTGGATGGTTGACCATCTGCATAGGGGAATACTCATTAATCATCAATACGTCTTCAGAGACAGCTGCTTTCCAAGCTCTAGACAATTATGAAATCATCCCACTTATGAGACCTTTCTACATTTTTGTCTTCATTGCAGTGGATCTCACTCACAGGTAAACAGTTTCATGCTTTTTAAAAAATTGCAGGTACCATGAGACTTTTTATACTGTGCTAGGCAGAATGTATACAGTGGTGCCTCGCTTAATGACTACCTAGTTAAAACGATGACTCCGCTTGACGATTAGGTTTTTGTGATTGCAAAATGATTTTCTAATTATTGCAAAACGATGTTCTAATGGGAAAAACAGCTTTACAATGATCGGTTCCCTGCTTCGGGAACCGATTTTTTGCATTACGACAATCAAAATAGCTGATCGTCGGATTTCCAAAATGGCCACCCGATGTGCAAAATGGCTCCCCACTGTTTTTAGGATGGATTTTTCACTATACAGGAAGCAGAAAATGACCGCCCTATGGAGGATCTTCGCTGGATGAGCAGGTATTTCACCCATTGGAACGCATTGAACGGTTTTCAGTGCATTTCAATGGGCTTTTTTATTTTGCTTGATGACAATTTCGCTCTACAGCGATTTCGTTGGAATGGATTAACGTCGTCAAGCGAGGTATCACTGTATGTTAAATATAGGCCATTGTTCTGTTTCATGTAACAATTGTATTTAATCAGTAATTTGAAATAAATCTACAAGGGAGTTCAAAAATTACAGGAAAGTGGTAAACAGGACATTTCATTAGACAGAATGTGTCTTTTCCCCCCCTTTCTTCCCTTTTTGCCCCACAGATAATACTCTTTTTCACTTTCATCCAGGTTTGCTGCTGATGTACCAGCTTTAAACCTGACAAACCAGATTTTGCACATTGTGTTTTTGTTTTTGCCTCTGTTGTGGATTCTGGGGATTCTGCCTCCACTGGATGCACTTTTTCTCTGGGCAATGGAGCAAGTATTGGAGCTTGGTCTAGGAGGTTCACCCATGTCAAGTAACATGAGGTAATCCTTATTTGGCATAAATGTAAAATATTTACACGGGTAAATCTAACAAATAGTCCTGTGGCACCTTAAAAGATTAATTAAGTGCAGTACAGCATAAGCTTTCTTCATCTTCTGGTGCCTCATAGACAAATCTATTTATTACAGTATATGTTTTCATAGTCCTATTGCACCTTAAAGACATACCAGTTTATTCTGGCATTTGTTTTCATGAACTGTTACCCTAAGATGGTGTATATAAACTAGGTACAAAAATGCAAGCAATGAGGCTAAGGTGAAATTTCATTTTCCTCTGAACTCATTGCTCATATCACTGCTTAAGTATGCCTGCCAACATAGGATCACTTCTTGTATCTGATGAAGTCAAGCTACAGTATTACCAACCATTTATAAAACAGGATATAGTTCACTAGTAGTTAATATCCCTTCCTTTAACTAGATGCATGCTTTGATGTTTGCAAAACTGGATATAAAGTTTGTTATGGTAAAACGTCAAAGGTAAACTCACACAATCAGTGTGCCATGATGTCACCACATTAATAGTGGGCATGGTGTCTTAAAAGGACAGCAAGCAAAAAAGTTGATCCTGCATTTAACTCTGTGGTAGAAAGACAAGGAATGGAAATAGGCTGAGCTCCCCAGATGAATTGCCCACCCATCATGTAGTTTATAACATTTCAAAAGAAATCTTGTTGCGTATGTGTTTTTGTTTTGTTGTTCCTTCCTCTTACAGGCTGCTATCAATGTTTCTTATTTCTCTGGGGACCGCTGTGGCATCCTATTTCATACCCAGCACTCTCGGTGTGGTCCTTTTTATGACTGGATTTGGATTTGCCTTGAGTCTTAACCTGAGTGAGATCGGGTTTGCCTTCAAGAATAACATGGTCAACTGCTTTGCTTCTAGCAAGTTGAAGAACAGGCCTGCTTGTCATAAGGCACAGTTTGGATGCAGGGAACTAATTTTTTACTTGACTGTGTTTACTTTTGCTCTTTTGGAAGCCAGTTTGTTGCACTCCTTCCTTGGTTCTCAGACATTTTCCAAAACCAGTTTCCAGGCTGTTATGAGCTATGTGCTGATCCTATTGCTTTTTGCCACATGGATTCTTAGAGAGATCCAGACAGTTTATTTATTTGGAATGTTCCGAAATCCCTTTTACCCAAAGGATATCATGGCTGTGAATATATTTATGAAGAAGCAAAAAAGGCTGAATAAAATTGGTGTGTTCAGGAGGATTTTACTAGCATTAGGTAAGAACACTTACAGCTTTCTTTATTACCTGTAAGCTTGGGAAGGAGGATGTCCTGCAAATAGGGCATGTGTGGTTTCCAAAAACATATTGCAAGAAGAACCAAATGTTAACATTAAGTGCTTAGGAAAGGGGCCTAAGCATTTACAGCATTAGAGTTACATCATAATTAACTGATAATTCACTTAAAAAGCTTCTTGCTTGCATTGTTAATTATGTAACCATTACCTGCTTAATTCTAGCCCAGATTTCCCCAACCTGGTGCCCGCCAGATGTTTTGGAAAATTACTCTCATAATTGAAAAGCCAACACAACAGCTGGAAGGTCAGACATTCCCCAACCAAAATTTAGAAAAATGGTCTTTCATTGACAGTTTGTTCTTTCTCCATAGATAAATATTCTTTCTAAACCAAGCATGTATATCAAGGACATTTGGAGCAACAGCATTGACTATTATTTAAGGATTATGAAAAAAATTAAATGTGCAGTATCAAAGGTGACTTACTGCATTTCCTAGTTTGATGCACCTTGCAACTTGATTTCTTTCCCCCAGAATTCTTTTTATACAGTCAACTGGTTTAAGAAAAGACTTTCTGTTCAGTAATTCGAATATGTATAGGATTCCATATTCGTAGGATTTGGTTACTCAAGCAAGTACAAGATTCCTGTTGGGTTATTCTTAGGTAGCAGAGTAGCCTGTTTTAAAAAAGACCTCGCCTTTCAGCAAACGTTTCAAAACAGCTAAAGGAGACATGTTTAAAATACTGTATCCCTGTGGCTTTGAAACAAAAGATCAAACAAAAATCAAAACGATGAATATCGGAGGAGGTAAGAGGGATGGCTTGTAGACAGAGGGCCTTTTCGGCAGCTGCCCCCAGACTATGGAATGCCATCCCGAGGGAGATTTGTCTGGCGCCAACGCTGATGACATTTTAGCGCCGGGTCAAAACCTTGTTCCAGAAGGCTTCTAATTAAAATAGTATCAACTGTGTGTCCTGATGGCAATTTTTAGAATATATATTTTAATTGTATTTTAATTGTTGTCATCTTTTTTT